CAACTAAAAATCACGGAAACAATAAAAATCCAGGGGACAAAGATGGCGAATCTCAGGGTAAAGACAGAAACATTGGGTTAATGAGAAAAGAGGCGCAAGATAAGCTCAAGAAGAAGTGAATAAAAAACAGATGGTGGAAAATAAGTTGATAAATTAAAGGGAATGGAACAGATTCAAGATTACACAACTAAGAAAATATAGTTCGCCCCCAAAAGAATTTTCCACTAGAGATTGCCACACTTGCTACAGCAACTACTACAGAAAATTCCAAAGTTAAAAGGGAAGAAGAAGAAGAAGATCAAGAACAGTTAAAGAAATTACCAGAGTAGTAGTTGTTGAATATTGAAGAATTCCTACTTTTTTTTTCCTTTTGGGTAGATAAGAATATCGGAAATTCACAGAAAAAAGCTTAGAACTTTAAGCTAAACAGTGTGACCCCAAAAAAATAAATGAAAAAGAAATTAGCTTTGATTGAGGTTCAAGCTGATCTTTAAAACCCTTTACCAGAAACAACACCCCCTAGCCGACCCCCCCCCTAGCCGAACTCACTGAGAAAGAGACTAAATATTCCGAGTTTTCTTTTTTTATAGGGGAAAAAATACATTTTTGAGGTTAAATATAAACCGTCGGATGAGATTTATGGAATAATCTGACGGTCGGAAGTAGAGGAAAATGTGCACTCGGAGTTCTTATCCTGTTGTCCTCTTAGGTTAGACCGCCACGAGGCAACATGCGGAGGGTGGGACCCACAAACCTCAGGGATCTTGTCTGAAATTAGCTGTAAAATGGGTCGTGGGAAATCCCACGTGTCGTGAAACTATTCGCTGGAGTAAGTCTTCGTGGGCAACGTGGCATCGTTTCCATGCTTCGTTGACAACACAAAGCCATCTCGAAGTAGGTTTCCTAGAGATATGTGCTCTCGTTTTGACTGATTTCACCCGAGATCTCGTGGGATAATGAATAAAAACAAGTAGAGAAACGCAAACCATCGTGATCCGACAATACGCTATTGAAGCTGTGAACCTAAAATATCTCCCAACAAACCGTACAATTCAACCTACAACTTTACGAGCTGTTTTTTTCTTCTATAAATACAACGTTTGTTATGTTTTATTCATGCAAACTCTTATCATTTTCAATAACTTTTTATATTATATTATATAGAAAATAATTAATTTTAAAATTATATAAAAATTTAAAATTTTCATAAAATAACTGTCCATGTGAGTCTTCTCAATTCATCCCTAAATATACACTCTTAAAGTAATTCATTTATTTTTGTTATATATTTTATGAGCTTATAAAAGAAATTGAGTGTGACATTTTAGATTACCTTTTCATTCCATCGAATATGTTTTGATTGGATAATTTAATTAAAAAGCATATTAAAAAGTTAATATGTTTATATGTAATTTGTAGATTAATATTTAATAACAATGAAAAATAAATAGTAATTCCTTTTTTTAATTTATCCTTGTTATGGGCGAAACGTGATTATTACAATTAAAAATCCAATCAAATAAAATAATAATAGTAATAATAAAAAAGGTTATCGGGGGCGATACGATACAAAGGTGGGGAAACGGACCGAAAACAGCTGGACGTCACATTGAGTTATCCGCCACGTCAGCAGAGCGGGACCCATGGCCTAATATACTATGGCTTAACAGAGCCTCCAACACGCTCGACACAGCAGAAAACCAATAATAATAATAAAATAAAAGATAAACTACATAGATAATCTCCGATTATTTAATTGAGAAAATAACATCAGTGACAAAAAAATATCTTATAATATATTATTTTAACTAATTTTTTTGGATTTATCAAAATGACCAACTAAATCGCAATGCGATCGATAATTCGTAACGCGATTTCCGGTATCGCAAATCAGTTTCCAGATTCGCAAGGCGAACTTCGACTATCGCATTGCGATTTACATATTCGCATTGTGATAGTCCAAGTTCGCGTTGCGATTTATTCCAAGTTCATTGCGATAGTCGAAGTTCACGTTGCGATTTATTCCAAATTCGTTGCGATAGTCCAAGTTCGCGTTACGATTTATTCCAAGTTCTCGTTGCGATTTATTCCAAATTCGTTGTTGCGATTTATTCCAAATTCGTTGCGATAATCCAAAAGCGCAACAACGGTATTGCATTTGTTTTTTAAGAATTTTCTCTAAAAAGATAGTATTCGCGCGGACGTGTCGAAGACACGTATTACCACGACCACGACCAGACTCGAGAAGAGACGAGACGGACGACGGCGGCGAAGGCGCGCGAGAGTCCCCTTGTTCTCTATCACTCAACAAGGAAGTGGGAAAGCCAAGCCTTAAATACCATTCCCAATAGTGTTTCCAATACTATGTGGGATTGAGCATTACCAACACTTGTTCCCAATACTATGTGGAATTGAGCCTTAAATAGTGATATTATTTTTGAATGTTTTGCTTAAAATTGCAATAATCGCGATTGATTGTAGATTGACTTTTAATTATGACATATTTAATCGTATAATACTAATGCAATTGGTTGATGATTCAGTTGTTTTAAGGTGCATGATTGTTAATGTTTTCTGATAATCACATTGTATTGGAAACAAGTGTTGGTAATGCTCAATCCCACATAGTAATGGAAACACTATTGGGAATGGTATTTAAGGCTTGGCTTTCCCACTTTCTTGTTGAGTGATAGAGAACAAGGGGGACTCTCGCGCGCCGCCGCCGCCGTCCGTCTCGGGTCGTGGTCGTGGTCGTGGTCGTGGTCGTGGTCGTGGTAATACGTGTCTTCGACACGTCCGCGCGAATACTATCTTTTTAGAGAAAATTCTTAAGAAACAAATGCAATACCACCAGTCGTTGCGATTTTGGACTATCGCAACGAATTTGGAATAAATCGCAACGCGAACTTCGACTATCGCAACGAATTTGGAATAAATCGCAATGCGAACTTGGACTATCGCAATGCGAATATGTAAATCGCAATGCGATAGTCGAAGTTCGCGTTGCGATAGTCGAATTTGGAATAAATCGCAACGCGAACTTCGACTATCGCAATGCCAAGTTGGACTATCGTAATGCGAACTTCGACTATCGCATTGCGATTTACATATTCGCATTGCGATAGTCCAAGTTCGCATTGCGATAGTCAAAGTTCGCGTTGCGAATCTGGAAACTGATTTGCGATACCGGAGATCGCGTTTCGAATTATCGATCGCATTGCGATTTAGTTGGTCATTTTGGCAAATCCAAAAAAATTTGGTTAAAATCGTACATTATAAGGCATTTTTTGTCACTGAGATTATTTTCTCTATTTAATTTCTCCTCTAATGTTATTTTTTTAATTTCCCATTATTAAATTTATTAGTTATTTGATTATTTATATATTTTAAATTCATATTTTTTATTAAAATTTGATGGTTGTTTATATTAGATAATAATATGATGATTGAGATATAATAAAATTATACTTTAATGATATCTACTGACATTTTTGTTAATTTCAAGCACTGAATCGACGATGTAATATTTTTAGCACTGACTCGAGGATAGAATGTAAATAGAGACTCAATGAACAAGTTAATATCTAATTCAAACAGCCGTCAACTTTTAATAATTAAAGACTCATCAAAACAACATCTTATAATCCTGAATCATTTTTTAACTTTCAATAATAATTGAAATACATAATAAAATGATATCATATAATTACTGTATTATTTGTATACTTTAAAATAAAATAAAATAAAATAAAAATTTGCGAAGCGACAAAAACCCTAGCCAGCACACCCCTGGCTTTGCACAGTTCCCTTTGTGACATTTTAAAGATAATGTTTTCAATTGTATTGCTGCCATTTACGACGGCGGTCCATCGTCCCATTCATGGAACTGCTTACGTGGAAGGACTCCCTCCTTTGTTTACAAGCCTCCGTAGATCCAACGGATAGGAAAGCACGGCAGAAAATTAGGGCCAGTTTTTTGGGGAAATTACAGAAAAGGCTGAAAATGATTTTAAAATATATATCTTTAATTTATTAATAAATTAAAAGAAAATAAATCAAATTAAAGTACTTTATCCTAACTAGAATTAGGTCACCTTTAAAGACTTTAGGCACAGTGAGTTAATGAAGTATATGCATTCAAAACTTTACCTAAAACATTGCAAGAAACAGGTACCTAAGGGAATAATGTGCTTTTTAAAATCCTTTAGCTAACAAATATCGATACTAAAAATAGGTATTTATTAGTTTAGGATAAATTATTTATATATTGCAAGTGGGGTTTCTCAAAAAAAATTGAGTGGTCAGAAAATAACCTATATTAGTAGACTATATTGAAAATAACCCTAAATCTGACAAAAATGCCAGGGTAATGTAGAATGGTAAAAAAATTTCTCATTCTAACGTGGTTTCAACATTATTTTCCCATCTAAAGCATTTTCTATAGTACACGCCTAAAGACTTCGGGATATCTCGGCTTCTTCAGGCTAAAATTTTACATGCATAATCTTTGGAAATTACTCGACGTCTTTAGTTGAAATAGAGTTGCTGCTGCATGTGGAGGTGGCCGGGAATTCTAGGCGTCTTCTTAGGTTTTTAAGATTACTCTTGCTACTACTTTTCGTTGCTTTCTCCTTCATGAAAGTTGAGTCTCCATGCTTGTTTTTATTATAGAAGTTTTACATGGGAATTTTCTTAACACCGTATTTGGCTGCTGAGAGAACAAAAACAACAGTCGCAAAATCATTTAGTCATTTTCTTGGAAAATCCATAATTGCTGGCAGATGGTTTCTGGGGAAAAAACGTAACCATCTCCAGTTAATTTAGGGAGAGAAAAATAAAAATTCAACCCACCAGCTTCTCATAAATCAAAGAAAAGGGTAAATAAAATCCAAAAAAAAAAGAGAGAAAATGCTTGAAAACAAATAAAATTTCATGTTTTTTTTTAAAACCATCAAAAAGAGACAAGAAAAATCATGATTTATATTCATAGTTTCATACCTGGTGAGACCATGATTATAATTGGTAGAAGTGAGTCTTCTACGAATTACAACACTGGATTTATGAGAGACCTTTTGAGGGTCTTTAACTCTCACACATCTTAGCCTCTTTCTATTCCCCCACTGTAAAAACACCTCTGGCTCTATCGTTTTGCATGCTCTTTGGCTCCTCTCTTCTTTCTCCATCTCTGTCATTAAAACACCTTAAACAAATAAAAAATTACTAACATGCAGCAGCACCCCTATTTCAACTAAAGACGCCGAGATATCCGAATCTTTAGGTGTGTACTGTACAAAATGTCCTAGATGGGGAAATAATGTTGTAACCACGTTAGAATGGGAAATTTTTTTCCCATTCTGCATTATCCTGGCATTTTTTCCACCCTTTCTATATATAATAATATGTAATTTATCATGTACAAATATATAAGAGATAAGAGAAACTATTTTAAAAAATATATATCATGGATTTAAGGGGATTGTTAATGGGAAAAATAGATTGTAACAACTTTTAGTGGTTCATTCTTTCAATCCAATTGAGGAAAATTAACGAAATTCGGGTCATTTAGTCTTAATTCTCATCCACAACACGAACTATTATCATGGTGTAGTCTAGAGTCACATAGGTTGGAGGACTTACACCCCTCTAGCTTATGAAGTAGGTAGTTTGGATGAGACATGAGTCACATTTACATCATGAACGTACATTTAGTTTAGTCCTCAGCATTAATAACGTACACCCGACTAGCCTAGTCCTCTAGAGTAAAAGACGAGTCTGTCACAAGAGTGTTAGAGCAACATTCGATTAATATATTTTTAGTGCATCGACACAACTCTTAGGATATCTATATAACTCATCATACATACATACATCAACATAATATATGATCGTCACACAGAAGTAACTCGGATATTCTCGTCGTTTTTCGAGTGTCAAACAAATGCATAAATCTTATTTTATAAGTTTTTTATGATTATCACATATATATCATTACCATCACATTATTATTATTGAATCTTCATTATCAAGTTATCGTCATAGAGCTAAACGTCTCATCACACGGCATTAATTGTCTTATTATTTATTCATTCATATTATTATTATTTAAGTATCATTGTTGTTCTTGTTTTTAATCAATTATAGTGATTCTAGACTCCTCACTCGAGTCTAGTATCATTGTTCAATCTCATTTCTAGCCAAACTCTCACCCAAAAATTATACGTTCGACCACACGTTATTGCTCATAACATACTAATTTTTTTATTAATGAAAATAAATAATCAAACTTTTTTCATAAAATCTTAATTAAGTGTATTTTTTAAATTAATTATCTCAATAAATAACAACACTTATATATATTTTTTATTTTTGTCTGTCTCATTCCTTTACATTTATCAAAATAAATATATCAAATCTATGAATTATTTTTTAGGAATAATTTTATTGTTTTTTTGGTTTTATATAATTTAATATGTGATTAAACTTATATTTTAATTTCAAATAACTTTTAAGTGTAAAAGGAAGTGTTAATTTATTTAAGGGTAAAGTATAGTAATGGTCATTGAACTTTTCTAAAGCTTTCATTTAGGTTCCCCAACTTTTAAAACTTGTAATACAGTCCTCCAATATTTAGTCTGTTTGCAATATGGTCCCCGACCATTACAATACCGTTAGTACATTTGCAATATGGTCACTAAACTTTTCAAGCGCTTGCATTTAGGTCCCCCAACTTTTAAAACTTGCAACATATTCCTTAATTTCATTCTAAACCCTAAATTTCAAAATAATTCAATTATATTTTAAACCCTAAATTTTAAAATACTTTAATTTAAGGTTTAGACTATAATTAAAGTATTTTAGAATTTGAGGTTTAGAATGTAATTGGAGTGTTTTGGAATTTCGAACATGAATTTGCTATTTGGCAATGTTTACTTCAATATAAATTTGAGGGTTTTTGCATGCACATCCAGCGGCTGCCGTACTTTGAACATGAAAAGTGCATCTATCACTTTTATTACATAAACCGTTGAAGTAAAAGTAACAAGGCCAATTTGTCTTGTTCGTAGCTGTTGCACTTTGGTATGACAATCCAATAGGTTTGGATGGAACTTGAGCATGCACATCCAAAGACTGCGAAAATAGTAAAGCGTTTTAGTTCATAGGACTACAACATACAACCAAGCAATAACTAAAATAAACCAAGAATATTAATTAATAACTCATTCAAAAGGAGGACTTAATAAATAAAGGGAAAGAGATTCGAGAATAGTCACTCCAATAGCTAATGCGTCAAATGGGTTGTTTAAGATATACATTAGATTCCAAATACAACATTACCAGTTGCAAATGCATTAATGACCTACCCTTTTAACATATAATTGCTTCCAATGCTCCATGTTTAATGTTCCTCAATAACCAAACATGAGAATATAAAGCAGATAGCAGAACTAAAATCATAGGACCTCATAATTCTTGTAAATCCATGGCATGTGAGCAATAAAAGACATTGTAAAACATAGAGGACACTGCACCAAACATATATATTGTAACATCCTCCATATCGGGTTAGTGATCAAATTGTGAAATTTTAAAAGTTAGTGACCAAAGTAGATAAATTGAATAGTTGAAAGATATAATGGGAATGTTTCATGTAGGATGGATAAGTAAATAAGGGAAATTGAAGGCGTAAATAAGTCTTTTAACAAGGAAATTAAATAAATCTTAGTTTGAGGATATTTATTCCCACGTGGAAGCTAATGAGAAAGACCAAAAGTTTCCAGATTTCTCTTCTTCTTCTTTATTCTTCTTCCCCGTGAAGAAAAAGTTAAAGGTGAGTTTTCTTGTTAATCAAACTCTTGATGAATTTAAGGTTTCTTATTGATCATTAGATGATAACTAAGCTTAAGGAAAGCTTAGGTTATCTTAAAATCAAAAGATGATAGAGTTAGGACGGATTAAAGAAAGGAAGTAGAAAAGTGAAATCTTGGAATAGAGTTCATAATAAGAATTAGAAGTGGGATTTGACTTGTCATCAAGCTAATTAAAGGATAGGAAGTGTTAGAATTCGATTTAGAACATGTTGGAAATTGAGTGAAATTCTTAAATTTAATATGGAGAATTGGATTTCTAAGTTTTAAAGGTATTGAATGGGTAATAATTAGTTTAAGTAAGTGTATGCAAGTTAGGGATATAAAAAGAGGGGATATATAAAGTGTTGAGAAGATTAAGAAGAGATTTTAGTGCTTAAAAGACATTTCTGGGCAATGTGCATCGATGCACATTCAATGTGCACCGATGCATCAAGGATAAATCCCAGAAATTGTTCAAGGTGTACCGATGCACATGAAGTGCATCGATGCACTCTTTTAAAATACAAACATCGAATGCCATCGATGCATCGATGTATAAGGAGTGCATCGATGCACCCCATTAAATACAAACATCGAATAGGATTTATGCATGGTGTAGTGCATCGATGCATACCTCCATTAAAAGATGAAAATGGCTTTTCTTTTAGCCTAAGAAATGATAGTTTAGAATATACTAATTAGTATACTGATAAGTATCAATGAATTACTATGTAGATATCGAGCCTAAACGAGTTCTGGAACAATCGACAAGTAAGATTGATCGAGGGAAAGACAAAGAAATCTAGGTGAGTGCATATACATAGCATGAATATGTATTCTATTCAGTTCTAGACTTATGATAAGTCTAGATTCAATATTTTGATACATGATCGCATTTCATATTATGATACATGACATGAATATGCAAGAAAAAGTTATATGAGTTATGTGATAAAGGTATGGAAATGATATGTCTATGTGATAAAGGTATGAAAATAATATGTCTACGTGATACAAATTATGTGAATTGTGAAAGCCCATGTTATATAGATGAGAACTATAGGTATAGTTGGCATGCCAAGGGTAGAGGGTCTACGCGGTCCTTCGGGATATATATATATATATATATTCTTTGGAACATGTGTAAAGTCTTGTGAGATACATACTTGATCCCTAGTATATGTATATGATTCTTAATGAATGATATGTGGTCCTTATGGACATTATTATATGGCATTACGGTGCAATTCTACAATGCAATTTGGTGCAATTCTACGTGGCACTTCGGTGCAATTATACGAGCTGTGGTGACATCATAGTGCACAACCTCACAATACTCATACCTTAGGTTCTCAGTATGATACCATGGGCTAATGAACTTAATAAGGTGAACTTATGAATGTGAATTTGATAAGTATATATGTAAGAAACATGGTTATGGTTATTGCATTGTATACATATATCTTATCATTGTAACCCATCTCATTTTGACAATTCCTTTATATTTTATTATTATTATTATATTGCCTCACTAAGTCGATGACTTAGCATGTTAATGTTTCACACGTAGGATCTGATAAAGCAGACGATCGAGGTTAAGTAGCTGGACAACATTACTCCTACAACTATCAGATCAGAAACAACTTAATCAGTAGGTCATTTTGTTATGTAAATGGATGTTAGCATGTAACTAAAGGGTTAAGTTATGTGTGCTCTGAGTATTGTGATAAACTTGTATTAATATATGCATATTATTTTATTTTAATAAAATAAGTTCGAATGTTTTATCGGTTTTTTTAAGTATTATTTTGTTTAGTCAATGTGACATCCTGGACTCGTATCCGGGTCGGATATGAGTTGCGGGTGTTACATTTAATAGTATCAAAGCTATGGTCTAGTCGATTCTAAGTATAAACCAGAGTCTATAGAGTCTTTAAATGGAATACATGCCAACAAATAGTGAGTACTTCTGATCTGGTATAGTATGAGTATGTTATTTTTCTAATAGAACAATGTGTTTATTTTATTAGATGTCCGGACATAATAGCTCCCGAAGTGAAGCGGGAGAAGATAGGCCTACTGAAAGCAGTAATTCACCTGCCCTGGCCAGGCAAGGTGAAGGACAGGCATCTCAGGGAGTGCCTGTACAAGATCAAGATATTTTCTTCAGGACGTTGGATGCTATTCTGACGCGTCTTCAATCTCCTGCTCCACCAACTCAAAGAATGAATGTAGCAAAAGAGTTGAGAGGTTTAGGAGCTCCCAAATTTAAGGAAGAAGCCGAGGAAGGTCCGGTTGCGGCGGATCTTTGGTTAAATGATTTGAAAATCATGTTGGAAGGTCTCCACTGTTCTGAAGTAGAGAAGTTAGATG